TATGACCCCCTTTTTATTTCTGATTTTGTTGATTTGGATATTCTCTTTCTGCCTTTTGGTTAGTTTGGATAAAGGTTTATCTATTTTGTTGATTTTTCTTGAAGAACCTACTCTTTGTCTCATTGATTCTTTGTATTGTTTTCTTTGTTTCTATTTTGTTGATTCGATTATTTCCTGCCCTCTAGTTCTCTTAGGTGAGTTTGCTTCTTTTTGTTCCAAAGTTCTCAAATGTTCTGTTAATTCACTAGTGTGGGATTTTTCCAGCTTCTTTATGTAGGAGTGCTATGAACTTGCCTCTTAACACTGCTTTCATTGTGTCCCATAAATTTGGGTATGTTGTGCTCATTTTCGTTGGATTTTAGAAAGTCTTTAATTTCCCCCTTTATTTCTTCCTTGACCCATTGATGATTCAGGTGAGCATTATTTAATTTCCATGTGTTTGTGGGTTTTCTGGAATTGATATTGCTGTTGACTTCTAGTTTTAAAGCATGGTAATCTGATAAGGTACTTTGGGTTATTCCAATTTTGTCTGATTGACCTGTGCAGTGAAGAAAGGGGAGTGTTGAAGTTTCCCACTATTAGTGTGTGGGGTTTAATATATGATTTAAGCTTTAGAAGTGTTTCTTTGGCATATGAGGATGCCCTTGTATTGGGGGCACAGATGTTCAGTATTAAGATTTCCTCTTGACAGGTTTTTCCTGTGACTAATATGAAATGACCTTCTTTGTCTCTTTTGACTGATTTTAGCTTGGAGTCTATTTTGTTAGGTACTAGGATAGCTACACCCACTTGTTTCTTAGGTCCATTTGATTGGTATATTTTTTCCCAACCTTTTACTCTGTGACGATGTCTGTCTTTGAGGTTGAGATGTGTTTATTGTATGTAGAAGAAGGATGGATTCTGTTTTCGTAACCAGTCTATTAGCCTATGCCTTTTTATGGGTGAGTTGAGTCCATTTATATTAAGAGATATTAAAGAGCAGTGGTTGCTATCACCTGTTAATTTAATTTTCATCATTGGTGATGTTTATTTGTGCATTTTTTTCTTCTTCAGGATTTGCTATAATGAGATCATCAATTGTCTGTGTTTTTGTTGAGTACCCAGTTCTTGTAAGCTTTTCATAATTAACTTCTGTTGTTGCTACTGCTGGTTAGGGAAGCCTGTTTTACCACTGTTCCTAGCATGTAACACAATGCTAAAGCCTAGGATATTTCATTCACAGTAATAATCAAAACAACTTGTGTTTATGTCCCCCACAGTTCACCACTGTTTGACTTTAGGAAGAAGAGCCTCTGAGAGAGGATTAAGTCAGGAGCCCTACGTGTTTAGGATCTGTGCCCCTATGAATAGCTCCAGACACTGCCTTTCCTTCTCCACCATTCAGGGTGAGGCTAAAAAATGCCCATTCATGAATCAGAAAGTGAGCCCTTCCCAAACACTGAACTATCCCAGGGCCTTGGTCTTAGACTTTTCACATTTCAGAACTGAGAAATGCATTTCTGTCATCTACAAGCTGCCTATTCATGCTGTCAGTTACAGCAGCTAACAGAGAAGACAGCTAGTAGAAGAAAGACATCGGTGTGTGAGGAGTAAGTCTGTGGCAGCTTCTGTCGTATGGACTGACAAATGTAGCTTTCTGTACCCTCGTCCAACTCTGTGAAGTCAGTCACAGTCACTGTTAGCCCGTGAGGAAGACAGTGTGCAGGGCGGTTGTTGTGTAATCAGCTAAGCGGTGAAATGGGTGAATCCAGTGCTGTGACTCCAGACGTAACCTGCTGTTGATGCTGAACCTCAGGCTAAGACTCACTGGCAAAGCACCTTGCTAGCATAAGTGGGACCCTAGGTTCTGTCCCTAGTACAGAATGTTTCTCTAAAGCCTTGAGTTTCTAGGTTTACTCAGTACCAGAAGAAAAAAGAAAGAAACTGACTTCCAGTAAATATTGAATGTCATGTAGATTAACAGGTAAATAAATGTTTAAAATGGTTTATGAATTGTTCAACCTCATATAAAACCATCTTGGGAATGAAATGAAGATGCAATATGAAAGAGTGGGTATTAGTATTATTTTAAATTGTGTTTGGTGTAGTAACAGAATTCTGCATAAGTAGAAAAATGCCATTTTTTAGGAATATGTTTGAGAGTTCAGAATGGAAGATTTCTGATGTCTATCATTTGAATCTTGGCTAAATAAGAATTGAAGAAACAAATGTGAAAAAAATTAATCTTGCACTTGAGGGGCAAATGGAAAATGACCACTAGGCTACTCTCCCCACTTTGTTGTTTCTGGAAACTTTTATAATAAAAGCAAAGACTTGGATGTCATCAGGGTGACACACACACCTGTAATCCCAGCATTTCATTTCAAAGAGTGAGGAAGGAGGATCTTTCATTCAAGGTCAGACTGGGCTACATAGGAAAACATTGTCTCAAAAAAAAAAAAAAGAAAGAAGATTTTCTTTAATTATTTTAAATTTTGTTTATCCACCTCCACATGTATGTGATATATACATATGTGTGCACATATTTGTGCAGGCATATATGTAGGCCAGAGGTCAACTTTGGGAATCTTCCTCTATTGCTGCCTACTGTTTTTGGTGTACAGTGTGTTTGTGTATGCATGTGGGTACCTAGGTACACATGCACATGCAGACGCCAGAGAAAGACATTGGGTGCCTTCTTCTTCCTCTGGCTTCTTTCAGAATGGGTCTCTTGCTCACTAAAAAGTGTCTTTGGGCTGTGCAGTCTTGCCAGGGAGTTCTTGGGATCCACTGTCTCTACCCTCCTCCCACAACACTATGTTACATGCTTGGTTTTTTATGTAGGTGCTGGGAAATTTAACTCAGATACTCATGCTTGTCCGGCAAGCACTTTTACCCACTAAACCTAGAGGTCATCATTTTGCTATGGTATCTGCCTGTTTTCTGCCTCCAACCTACTACTTGGGTTCCAGAAATGCACCACCATAGCTAGCTTTTATGTGGGTGCTGTGGATCCAAACTTAAGTTCTTATATAGCAAACACTTTATCTACTGAATCATTTCCCAGCCCCGGTTTTTAAAAAATATTTTTTTAAAGATTTATTTTATTTTATTATGTATACAGTATTCTCAGTATTCTGTCTGCATGTATGCCTGCAGGCCAGAAGAGGGCACCAGATCTCATTCCAGATGGTTGTGAGCCACCATGTGATTGCTGGGAATTGAACTCAAGACCTTTGGAAGAGCAGGCAGTACTCTTAACCACTGAGCCATCTCTCCAGCCCCTTAAAAAATATTTTTAAGTAGCTTGCCAATTAGATTTTTCTTATGAAATTTTCCTACTTGCTTACTTGAGTTTTACATATCCCATCCCACCACTACTTTCTTTTAAGCTAGTGAGATGGCTTAGTGGGTAAAGGCACTTGATACCAAGCCTGACAACCTCAGTTTGTTCCCCAGGACACACATGGTAGACAAGAACCAACTCCTACAAATTGTCCTCTGACTTCTACACAAATGTACACACATATACACAAATCAATAAATAAATACAAAAACAAAAAAGTCAGTTTAACAGTGAGGCATGGTGACTTATGCCTTTAATCCCAGGATTCAGGAGGCTGAGGCAATAATATAACCAAGTTCAAGGCCAGCCTGAATTGCAAAAACAATAAAAAAGAAAAGAAATTGGGATTGGAAAGATGGCTTGGTGAAGAACACTGACTGTTCTTCCTAAGGACCAGGGTTCAATTCGCAGCACCCATATTGCAGTTCACAACTGTCTGTAACTCCAGTTCCTGGGGATTCAACACCCTCACACAGACATACATGGAGACAGATCACCAACGCACACAAAATAAAAATAATTTACCCCCCCACCCCGCTCCATACACACACAAAGTAGGTTTTATTTTAGCAGTAACAAGTGATATCCAAAGTAATAGTAGTGGTACCCATAAACATTTAGGTTCTGGGGTTTGTTGTTGTTGTTGTTGCTGCTGTTTTAAGGACAGGATTTTAACATATAACTCAGGCTAGCCTCTAAACTCACAGAGATAGATCTCTGCTTCCTAAACTGGGTTTAAAGGCCTGTGTCACTTTGCCTGACTTCCCATGAGTAAGTTTATTTTTGAGACAAGGTCTCACTAATATAGCCCCAGCTGTCCTGTAATCCCCTATGTAGACCAGGCTAGCCTCAAACTCATATAGATCCACCCTCTCTGCCTCCCAGTGCTGGGATTAAAAGTGTGTATCACCCAACTTCCCATAAATTTTAAAGTAATTGGCCGTTGGCGGGAAATAGATGCCTAGTCTAGTCATGTATTGAGCTACTAAATGCGTGTTTTCTGTGGAATTCTGGTGCATTTCAGAGATTGGGATTAATAACCCTTTGTTTTGTAAATGGGGATACTGCATCTTTACCAGCGCAAGACTTTGGTTCTTTGTTAAAGACTTTTTCCCCCTGGGACTGGAGAGATGGCTCAGAGGTTAAGAGCACTGACTGCTCTTTCTAGAGGTCCTGAGTTCAAATCCCAGCAACACCATGTGAACACATGGTGGCTCACAACCATCTGTAATGAGATCTGGTGCCCTCTTCTGACATGCAGGCATACATGGAGGCTGAACAGTGTGTACATAATAAATAAGTAAATCTTTAAAAAGAAAGGGAAAAAAAGACTTCTCCCCCTTATTCCAGGAACTTTAGAAGACAAAATGATTTCTCTTTTGTATAATGGTGTAATATAATCATAAGGAACTTTTTTATTCCATGATATTCCATAAAGGACTACATTTTTTCAGTACTCCTCACCTGCATATGACTTACCTGTTTAACAGCCTCTGTTGTCTTGTCACGGAGAAAGGTAGTGTTGCTTCCACTTCCCAGGCAGGGGAGCTAACGTCAGTTCCCCTAGGAAGGTTTTAGGATTCCAGTCAATTAGAATGTAATGAAATAGAAGAGAAGTATTGCTTTTCTGGCTGGTGCTGGCTCACCATGTGATCTCCTTTCATCTGTCCACCAGGCTTCCGATGGAAGCAGCTCCAGAGAAGACCTCTCATCCCAGCTTCTGAGAAGAAATGAACAGATACGGAAGTTAGAGGCCAGACTTTCTGGTATGTGTTAAAAAGCCATAACAGCAGACATAGGACAGATGACCCTTCCCTGCTATAAGCCTGCTTTATAGGATAACTATAGTAACTTCCACACAGAATTTGATCTCCTTAGTCAGAAAAAAAACATTCTGTGCCCACTTTGTTACCTTGATTTTTTTTTAATTTTAGTATACTGAATATTGTAAATTCAAATTGAATTTGAAAGTTGTTTTTTGCTGTTGTGTAGTTCTGTTTTGTTTTTCGAGACAAGATTTTTCTGTGTAACAGCCCTAGCTAGCTTTGAACTCACAGAGATCCACCTGCCTCTGCCTCCCGAGTGCTGGGATTAAAGGCTACACTACTACCTCCCAGAAAAAGCTACTGTTTTTTTTCTGCTCCTGAGTTTTCTACCCATGGCTATAAAAAAGTGTTTAAAGTTCATGTAGAGGCTGGTATGGGGGTGCAGGCCCTAACCAATAGTACTTAGGGACACAGGAAGATTCTAAATTTAAGGCCAACCTGTAGTGGCATTTCATTTGTATTTTAACAAATAAAGCTTGCCTGAGGATCAGAAAAGTAAAACAGCCATGTTGACCAGCCTTACAGATCAGGCAGGCAGTGGTGACACACAGCTTTAATCCCAGTAGCCACACAAATTTACCATAGAAACCAGGCAGTAGTGGTGCATGCCCTTAATCCCTAAACTAGAGAGGATTATAAAATGAGAAGAGATATCTCTCAGTCTCATTCTGAGATTCCTGAAGGCAGGATCACCATTTGAAACTGAGATAGAGATAGGAGCCAGTGGCTGGCTTTTTTGGTTTTCTGACCTTTAGGTTGAACCCCAATTTCTGTCTCTGGGTTTTTAATAATCGTGCTTCACCAACCTAGGCTACATAGCAAGATGCTGAGGTGACAGGGTACTCAGAGTCAGTGTACCTGCCGGGAAGCCTGACAACCTGCGTTTAATCCCTGAGACTCAAATGGAGGAAGGAGAGAACGAACTCATTCAAGTTGTTCTCTGCTCTTCACATACATGCATATGCACACAAAGTAAAAAAAAAAAATAATGAAATTTGAAAAATCTTTTTATTTATTTTATTTTACGTGCATTTGTAAAAGGAATGGCAGGCCTCTTCCTGCCACCAGGCTATCTTTACCCGAAATAATTACACAGAGACTGTATTCATTTAAACACTGCCTGGTCCATTATCTGTAGCCTCTTATTGGCTAACTCTTACATATTGATCTAACCCATTTCTAATCATCTGTGTAGCACCACGAGGTGGTGGCTTACCAGGAAAGATCCTAACTTATGTTCATCTTGGGTCGGAGAGCCATGGCGTCTGCCTCATTGCCCTCTTCCCAGCATTCTGTTCTGTTTATTCTGCCTACCTAATTTTCTGTCCTATCAAAGGGCCAAGGCAGTTTCTTTATTAACCACTGAAAATAACACATAGACAGAAGGCCCACCTACATCATGCATTGGTGTGAAGGTGTCAGATGCCCTGGAACTGGAGTTATAGACAGTTGTGAGCTGCCACATGGGTGCTGGAAATTGAACTTGGGTCCTCTGGGAAGAGCAGCAAGTGCTCTTACCCACTGAGCCATCTCTCCAGCCCCTAAAGAATCTTTTTTAAAAACAATAAAAGTATATGTAGACTAGATTTGGCCATGTTCCACTGTTAGCATAGCTTACTTGCAGAGAGAACGTTATAGGCAGTACTGTCTATAGGGAATGATCAGCTGATGCTGGGCTGCCGCTTGGTGTGAGGGAGTCTTGCTCCAGGACTTGTCAGTGGTCTCCTGACTGTAATACCTGCTTCTTTGGGAGAATTATATTTAGATATAATTTTCATTACATCTCTGTCTTAGTTACTGTACTGTTGGCTGTGAAGAGGCACAATAGTCAAGGCAACTCTGAAAAAGAAAGCATTTAATTGGGGGCTTCCTTACAGTTTCAAGAGATTAGTCCATTATCATCATGGCAAGCATGCATGGTGCTGTAGAAGTAGCTGAGAACAACATGCAGATCCAAAAACAAAGAGAGAGACTGGGCCTGGTGAAGGTTTTTGAAACCTCAAAGCACACCTGCAATGACACACCTCCTCCTACAAGGTCACACCTACTCCAGCAAGGCCACATCTTCTAACCCCCCTCAAGTAGGGCCACTCATTGGTGACTAAGCATTCAAATATAGGAACCTGTGGAGGCCATTCTGTTTTGTTTTACTCGTGTGGGGTCCCACCTACCCCTAGACAGTTTCTTTGTATAACAGTCCTGGAACTTAATTTGTAGACTAGGCTGGCCTTGAACTCAGATAGCCGCTAGCCTTTGACTCCCAAGTGCTGGGATTAAAGATGTGCACCCCACGCCCAGTTGAGGGCCATTCTTATTCAAACATCACAGTCTCTATTCAGTCTACAATTCACTCAGCTCCCCTTATATCCTTTACCTGAACAAGGCTTGTTCATGATAGAGTTGTGAGTGTTTCTTTTGGTTTTTGACAGTGAACACATTATGATAGCTTTATCCTGTGATAAAAACAGTAAACCGAAATTCACTGAATTGTATGTGATATAGATTTGTTTAGCTACCAAGGGTCCAGAGCACTATTCACAGTAGTTTCTTCAGGATCAGCTTCTTAGGATCAACAAGGTAAGGCGCACAGGGAATCAGTGGTAGAACTGGAGTCTTAGTTTGATTCAGACTCAGACAGAACTCCAAACAGTCTGCTGAAGTCAGCTGTTACTGTCATGTACATGTGGCCGTAAAGTCAGTGGTTCTGTCTTGGTACCTGTAAACAACACCAGTAACAGAACTGAAATAACTGTTTTTAGTGTTGGGAAAGTACTTGTCGCGGAGTCCGTGCTTTTCCCAATACAGAAAGGACGATGGCAGAGGACATTTATCAGCGCACTTAACATCTAGGAATTGTAACTGAGTGATAACAATAGTAGCTATGTTTTATTTATCACTGTGTGCCCAGCACTTAATGCATACAAGTTACTTTAATGCTTCCTTTGAAATAGATGTGTAATTAGGTGAACACTTTTAATTCCAGCATTTTGGAGGCAGAAACAGGTGAATCTCTTGAGTGTGAGGCCAGCCAGGTCTACAGAGGAAGTTCAAGGACAGCCAGGGCTGGCTACACAGAGAAATTCTGTCTCAGAGAGAGGGAGAAAGGGTAGGTGGGAGGCAGGGAGAAAGAGAAAAGAGGAGAGGGGAATAGATGTGATTATTATCAGTTAACATATGAAGATTCCAGATGAGTAATTTACTTAAGACCCTAGCTAAGAAGTGACACAGTTGGGATTTGAACTACTCTCATTTTATACCATATCATACTGCTTTCTTTGGAGCCCCAGGTAATTCTTTCCCTTTGAGATGGCATCCACCTCTCAGTTTCTGGAGAAAGAGAACACATCTGCACCATAAAGGCAGTTCTGTGCTAAGGTGTTTGCTGTTTGCCTAACCACTGCCTCTCAGCTGTGTGGTCTGCAAGTAAGCTTTTATTGAACACCCCTGATCTGCTGTCCTGCAACAGGGAATGGGAACTGTCTTAGTCACCATTCTATTGTTGGGAAAAAGACACCACAACCAAGGCAACTCTTAGAAAAGAAATACACTTCCTCCAACAAGATCATACCTACCAATCCTAATCCTTCTGAAATAGGTGACTAAGCATTCAAGTATACGAGCCTACAAGCTATTCTCATGCAGACCACCACAGGAGCCCTGAGACTTAGAACTGAGTAATGAAGGTGATGGTGGGTTTTTCATAGCAGGGAACCTCTCATGACCCGGCCTGGCCTAATTGTTGTTCTCTGTCAAGGCTAAACAAATCTACCTTATTGTACTCATTGTTTATACCATGGAAAGTTTGTACTATTCATGCTTGCCCGTGTCATTCATTGTTAATGGAGGCTTTCTTCCTAGTTTTCCTTAACAGGACTGGTTTTTAGATTAAGAAAATCATCATCATTTTCATTCATTTTGTTTGTTTAATTAACTTCCTTTCCTAATGTTTGTCCACTCCTGGTATGTGCATCCCTCCTCACCCAAGACTATGCTGAACAGGTCCGAAACTTGCAGAAGATAAAGGAGAAGCTTGAAATTGCATTAGAAAAACACCAGGATTGTACGTATTTCTTTTCCTGCTTTCTTTAATCTTTTCAGGCTTTAGCCTTTTAAATGAATTAGTATATTGTTACATGTGTCCATCAGAACTCATCTGTATGATATGATGTTTGCCTAGAATTTATCAAGTGTAAGTGTATTTCTGTTGCTTTTGTGGGCATATTTCTTAAGAGGGGATCATTTTGTGCTCATCTCTGTCGAGTTGACCCACTTACTGATTGCCCTCGAGTCTAACCTAGGAGAATATTCTCAGTGTAGTTTCATTACTGTTATATTGACCAACTGTGGAAAGGCTCTGACAGCACTGTACCAACAACAGAATGGATATATATTTTGTTAAATTACCCTGACCTATCCCAATTTAAGTTTTCCTTGGGTATTGTCATCCAAGGAAGATGTTACAGGAAGAAGAAAGAAAATGAAGAATGCTTTTATTTTGTTATTGTTGTTATCGGTTTTGATTTTTTTTTTATTGTTTTTCAATTCTGGTGAAGAGGTAGTAGCTGTCACTTCACAGCAACAGAGTACTTTGTGCCCCTCACCTGTGTGATGCCTTCACTGTTACAGAAGGTAAAAGTAAGGAACCAGACAGCAAACTAAGCTCATCTTACCAGGGCAGAAAGGTTCTGGGAAATCAAGTTTCTCACAGTCTCATAATCCATTTCTATGGCCTTGCCTTTCTCATTTGGTGGCATGTAAGCTACTCACACGAGCTGTTTGTCATGTTGTTTCTGAAGTATTTCCATATCTCAAATAGAGCCTCTTCGTTAACAGCTTCCATGCGGAAATTTCAAGAGCAGAATGAGACATTCCAAGCCAACAGAGCCAAAATGGCAGAAGGACTGGCTTTGGCATTAGCCAGGAAGGACCAGGTATTTTCTATGTGGTACTGCCCAAGGCTAGGAAAAGATTTCATTTAGGGACCTGACTTAAAAATCATGGTGGAGATCCAAGTAAAGTCTTTACAACCTAGAAGGAAAAGAATGAATATAAGTTTTTTTTGTTCTTTTAAGATTTATGTATACTTACGTGTGTTGGTATTTTGCCTGCCTGTATGTCTCTGTAGGTGTACCCTACACCTACAGTCCCTGGAACTGGGGTTACAGATGATTGAGCTGCAGTGTGGTTGCTGGGAATTGAACCCAGGTCCTCTGGAAGAGCAGTTAGTGCTCTGAACTGCTGAGCTATCCAGCCACTAATATAAGTTCTTTAAGGATTTATTTGACCTTTTCTTATGAAGTCAGACTTGACAGTTTAATCATAAAATGTGTCCAGAATGCTCTCTCTGTGCATCTTTGTAAAGTACAGACAGAAATGGATGTGTCCGTTATCTACTAGTTAGCCTACAAATAAGTAAAAGGGTCTCATCCTCTAAGCAGTTGTCCCCAAACCTACACCCACAAACACATGCTCTTCCAGTTTAAGATGCTGTCACTCTTATCACATAGCCCATCTGACTCTTTCTCCCAAACCAAGTGTAGACAGAAGGGGACTCTTTAAAAAAAAAAAAAATTTATTCATGTACTTTATGTATATACCAGAAGAAGGAATCTGATCCCATTACAGACGGTTGTGAGCCACCATGTAGTTGCTGGGAATTGAACTCAGGGCCTCTGGAAGAGGAGTCAAGTGCTCTACATCAGTGAGCCATCTCTCCAGTCCCCAGAAGGGGACTCTTGGTCTCCATAGAAACAGCTACTGAGAGATGCTAAATGAATGACAACAAAAGGTAAAGTAATGCAGGTGTGGTGCACACCTATAATCTCAACTCCTCGATACAGGAGGATCAGGTGTTCAGGGCCAGCCTGACCTAGATGAACCCTGTCTCCATAATAATAAAGACAAAACAAAAAATTTAAAAGGGAAAAATAATATTACAGTAACTGTGGAGTGTGTTTGATATAGTCAGTAGTATTTTGGTTTTTTATGGTTGTTATTGGGGTTTGTTTGTTTTTGGGTTTTTTTCAAGACAAGGTTTCTCTCTGTAACTCTAGCTGTTCTGGAATTCACTCTGTAGACCAGGCTGGCCTCCAACACAGAGATCCACCTGCCTTTGCCTCCTGAGTGCTGAGATTAAAGGCATGCACCACCTCTGCCCAGCTAGTCAGTATTGTTTTAATTAGGGTACGCATCAGTGTTTTATAGTGATAATCTTTATCACTATAGATAAGTGGTATTTGTTTTAAATTATAAATATAAAAGAATCATTTACAGCTATCCAGTAGATAACTATGGTGTGGATATATGTAAATATGAGAGAAAACAATCTAAATGTAGTATATTCTGATTAGCAGCTATTGAAATTGGTTCTTTTATACTAATGTTATTTTCCTTGTATTCTATGGTTTGTGAATAAAGAATATAATATCTCCTCTTTTTTGTCATACACCAGAGAATCAAGCCAAGGGCACAGATTATTACCAAATACTGTTGGTCATGATCCCTAGACTTTCAGTAAGTTGATGTCTTAAGCATCAGCCTTGTGGCACGACTCAGTGGTCTAGCTGTCCACTCTCAAGAAATAATAGCGGTGTTCATGGGTAACTCTTTTAGGACATTTAGCTTTCTTAATACTGAACCAATTTTGTGGGTATTTTTTGCTTATTTATGTTGCTGTTTCTCATTCCCTTTTCTGGTTGATGGATAGCTTTTAAGAGCTGGTTGTTTTCTGAGAGTCTTGACATTGCAGATTCTCCTCCCTAGAAACTACTTCTCCTGTTGTTTTGTTTTAGGAATGGTCAGAAAAGATGGACCAGCTTGAAAAGGTTAGTCATATTTGTTGTATGAATGCTAGCGTTATCTCTGGGACTTAGGAAATGTTTTCTTCAGCCAGGCCTCATTGGTAAAGGCCTGTAACCCCAGCTACTTGGTAGACTGAAGCAGTAGGATTGCAAGGTCAAAGCCTGCCCCGGCTACAGAGTAAATTCAAGACCAGCCCAAGCAACTTAACAAAGCTCTAGGTATAAAAAAAAAAAAAATTGCTTGTTAAATCCATGCATATGTTACATGTATGTGTAACTATGTGTGCAGGTGTCCATGGAGGCCGTGGACCCCCTGGAGCTGGAGTCACAATTAGTTGTGAGCTACTTGCCATGATTACTGGAAACCAAACTTGACTGCTCTGGAATAGCAGAAAGTGCTTTTAACCACAGAGCCGGTCACTTTAATTCTTTCAAAAATTAGAAGTGGGAGCTAGCAAGATGGCTCAGTGTGTAAAGGTACTTGCTGCCAAGCCTGATGCCTCAGTTCAGTCTCCAGATCCCACATGGTGAAAGGAGAGAACATCGCCCACAAGTTGTACTCTGATCTACACATATATATACCCTGGCACGCCCACGTTCTCACAAACTTACACACACAAATAATAAACATTAATAAAAACAAATCTCATATATTGTGCAAAAAAGAAAAGTTAAAAAAGAACTAAGCATATAGATTCATAGTAGAGTGCCTGCCTAGCATGTGTAAGGCTCTAGATTTAATCCCAGGGAACCAGAAGGAAGTAGGAGGTGGGGCCACTGTTTTCCCCAGTATCCAGCTCACAATACTGGTTGTGACAGTACCTCCTGGAAGCAGAACACTGAGTGATTAGATTGACTTCAACAGCCTGCCTCTTATTCTTCCATAGTGGGCATTCTGGGTGTCCTTCCTTTTACCTGAAGGCTGTTTGTTGCTGCATCACCTGGGCTTGGTGCTTTGACTTTGAGTGGCCACTTGAGAACACTAGAAGAATGATCGTGGAAAGAGGATCATTCACATGTTTGTTCCTCAGCTTTGTCCACATGGGGTTCCTCAGATTTTCTTAATCCCATGGTCAAAAATTTAAGCTTCTTTTGGCCTGTTGGTTCAGATGGATACTCAGAGATGGTTTTTCTCATAACTGCTCCCTCTTGTTAGTGCCCTAACAGTTACTACTATAATACTTCTATAGGTATCTGTACTCACATGTTTGAGTAATCGTCTTATTAAACCATTCTCAAGATCCCTAAATTGACTGTGCTATCTGTTGATTTGTGGGCGCTGATTGATCCTGTAGTCACATTGGGAACGCTGCCTAACAAAACAGTCAGAAAGCCGGAATATTTCTCAGAGCTTAGCACTGAGGAGTCAGAGGACCTCTTGGCCAGACAGAGACATGGTTGTGATAGTACTATTGTTTCATGGGCTTCAGAGGCAGAGTTGCTACATAGTGAAGCCCTGTCTCAAAATAATGTCTGGGGGCTGAACACATAGGGAAAAGCTCTTATAGCCAAATCTGTCGACCTGAGTTTGATCCCTGGAACCCACAAATTATCATTTGACCTCCACACATGTGTTATAGCTTGTATGCATATATCTACAGACGCACAGTCTGAAAACAATTTTAAATGTTCTGCTTTTACAATACAGATTTCTAATACCTGGGTTGCCTAAGTTAGTGTCTTCTTGCAAACAGGATAAAAGATATCTGACAATTCAACTGCAGGAAATGAAGAATCAGAGTCTGAGCCTTTTTCAAAAGAGAGATGAAATTGATGAGTTAGAGGGGTTCCAGCAGCAGGAGATGAGCAAAGTAAAACACATGGTAGGTGTTTCTGTTCCAGAGCTCAGGGAAGCACTGGGAAGCAGTGAGTCCTTGTGCCTCAAGAGGCCATCACTTTCATGACTGTAAGCACCCTCATAGGCTTTGATACTAACCACATTGCGATGTTTTCTGATTTATTAAAAGTGGAAAAGTTGTATTTGAAATGTATCTTTCTCACCTTCTATTTGTGTAAAAACTGCACATTACCCCAATACTCAGCCCACAGAAAAGTCATTCTTCTTTTTTCTTTCTCTGTGTCTGTAGGGGTGTGGGGTGGTGAACTAGGGGTGGCATGCATATAGTACTGCGTGCGTGCAGAGGTCAAAGGACAGCTTTCAGAGTCCATTCTCTCTTTGCACAATGGGACCTAGGGATTGAATTGAGGTGACCAAGCTTGTACAGCAAGTTCCTATACCCATTGAACCATCTCAGTGGCCTGATCATTTATTCAAATTGTGTTTCTTAGCGGTGGCCTAATGGGACATTATGTCTTCTTATCAGCTTTTAAAAAAAGAAGAATGCTTGGGGAAAATGGAGCAAGAGTTGGACGCACGAACGAGGGAACTTAATCGCACTCAGGAGGAATTGGTTACTTCCAATCAGATATCGTCTGACTTAAACCAGCAGCTAGAAGAATTGCAGAGACAGTGCTCTACGCTGGAAGAACAGAGGTTCTCGCTTGGTCTGTGTGGCCTTTGGGAGAGGTGTTGGTGTACCATTGCTGTAGCCCACCCACATGTCCCCATTGCTCACCATAGCTCTTTCTGATCTCTGTGTTGGCAAAGGCTTCTGGATTTGTCTTCAGGCCCTCCACGCCATCGCAGCACTGGCTCTCTCTCTCTCGCCTGTGCCTGCATAGGCACAAGGCCATTCCGGTCCTGCTGAGCAGTACAGTCAGATTTGAGTTGTAAAGTTATTGAGTACTCAAAGACAGATCAGAATTCCTTGCTTAGACCTTGGTGGTCTTCCTGCTTCTGAAAGCCAAAGAGCTTTTTCAGAGAGATGAATTTAGTGTCCTGAAATAACACTTCCAGCCTGAAATATAAGGAGTTGTGTGCATTTTTCCTTTGGCGAGTGTATCATAGAGGAAATACCAAAATTTGCTCATTGTCTGTTTTCTTTCAATGAAGAGATCATGTGATATCTTCAAAAGCATGTGCAGAACATAAGATTGTAGTCCTGGAACAAAAGGAACAAGAGCTCCAAGCATTCATTCAGCAGCTTTCCATTGATTTGGAAAAGGTAAGCACAGCAGCATAAGTAATAATCTCCTGCTGGGGTGTGCACGTCTTGTGTGGACTGCAGATCCTACTTCCTGTTCTGGCAGGCTGCACTCATGTGGGACCACTACTCAGCAGGCTGCTTAACAGAAAAGACAGTATTTCCAGGTGTGGTGGCACATACCTGTAGTCAAGGGACTTTGGAAGCTAAGGCAGATTTACTGGGCCTAGACATTTGAGTCTGGCTTTGAAAGCAATGTGCACTATCAATTTTATATATATTTTTTTTAAAAACTGGAAGAAGTGAAGGGGGAACAGAAAATTGTATCCTAGCAGAAATTCTCAAAGGGTAATATTTATTTGTTCTGTTTTGCTTTTGATTGGCAACCTAAATTGCTTAAAGTGATTTAGAACTTAGAATTCTCCAACCTCACCCTCCCAGATAGCTGAGATTAACAGTTTGTGTCACTGTCTCCATATAAAGTGTGTCATTTGTTCTGCCCATGTCTTCTGGGCCTGAAAGTATAGTACATCTATAGAACACTTGCTTAGCATGAGGCCCTGAGTTCAGTACTTACCGCCTTAAAGAAAAATAGTATTATGTATGTCTTAAAGTACCACATAATAGACCTTGAGTAGAAGAGTGTCACTGACTTGGCCGCAATTGGACTAGGACTTCCATTGTTTCTTTAATTTTGTTTCTCATTTAGCTAAAAGACATTTTATTGCCCAGTAGGCAAAAAGTATAGGCCTGTGTTAAATTCTGAGAACACATAGATGAACAATAACACCAAAGTGTGAAAGACTAATCTTTATTTTTACGTGTGTGTTTGTTATAAGTCAACCCACAGTAGTCATTTCTCTCTCGTTCCCCACGTAGGTCCTAAGAATCAAACTAGGTTGTACTGGAAAAATGGTTCAATGGTTAAGAACACTGGCTGCTCTTCCAGAGGACCTAGGTTCAATTCCCAGCACCCACATGATAGTTTATAACTGTAACTCTAGTTCCAAGGGACCCAACACCCTCAGACAGGGGAAACACCAGTGCTCATAAAAATAAATCTTAAAAATAAATATAATAGATTTTTTAAAAGTATCAAACTAGGTCATAAGGTTTGGTAGCAAATCTTAACCTGCTGAGCTGTCTCATCAGCCCTGAAGGACTATTATATCCAGTTCTTTTTTCCATACTATATATAGAGTAAAGGATTTTTTGTATATTTTATGTATGTAAGTATTTTGTCTGCATGTACATCTGCACACCAGAAAAGGGTATCAGTTCTCTCTATAGATAGTTGTGAGCCACCATGTGGTTGCTGGGAATTGAACTCAGGACCTCTGGAGGAGCAACCATTGCTTTTAACTGCTGAACCATCTCTCTAACCACATCTAATATATTTTGATTGTATTCTTTTCCCGCCCCCAACTCCCCAACTCCTCATAGATAGATCCCCCCACCTCTACCTACCCAACGTCATGTTCTCTCTCTCTCTCTCTCTCTCTCTCTCTCTCAGCATAAACAAATATAACATATCTTGAAATAATATTCTACAACTGTCCAATATCAGTTTATACCACCCACCCTTGCTTTCAGATCTTAATAAATACTTTCCTCAAATGAAGTGGACACTTGGAGTTCAGTAACATTTGTATAAACTAAAAAAACAAGTCTCCACTTTTTCAACTAAGTGTTATCACACTTGATATTTCTGAATGGAAGGTGGTAGATTGTTCACTGTCCATGTGTGGTGCTCCATGCCTTTTAATTCCAGCACTCAGGATTCAGAGCCAGGCAGATCTCAGTGAATGTGAGGTCACCCTGGGTTGCATAGCAAGTTCCAGGACAGTTAGGATTACATAGTTAAACACTGTCACAGAAAAGAGGCGGGGAGAGCGGTAAATTTGTAATACATAAATTGGTGTGTGTGGTACAAGGTCCCTAACCTTCTTTAAATTAATAGCTAGACATATACATTGTTTTCCTGCAGAGGCTTTCAGTTTGTTGATAGAATTCAAACATGCCCACAAGGAAAAACTCAAGCCCCAAATAAGCACGTAGATTTTTTTCTTTTTTTTTTAAGTAGGTAATTTATTTATTTATTATTGTTTTTATTGAGCTATATATTTTTCTCTGCTCCCCTACATTCCTCCCCCTCCCTTTCTACCCTTTCCCTTGATCCCCACGCTCCCAATTTACTCGGGAGATCTTGTTTGTTTTTTGTTGTTTTTTTTTGTTTTTGTTTTTTTGTTTCTCCTTTCTTTGTATAGATCCATGTATATCTCTTTTAGGGTCCTTTTTGAAGTCACGTAGATTTTTCAAGCACATAAGATATATTGGGGAGGGCTGGAGAGATGGCTCAGTGGTTAAGAGCACTGGCTGCTCTTGTGGAGGTCCTGAGTTCAATTCCCAGCAACCACATGGTGGCTCACAACCATCTGTAATGAGATCTGGTGCCTCTTCTGGCATGCGGGCATACATGGAGGCAGAATGTTGTTTACATAATAAATAAATAAATAAATACATCTTTTAAAAAAAGATATATTGGGGAGTACATTTCTAGCCAAGAGCCAAGAGCCAGAGGAAGCAGCATGACAAGGATAAGTAAAACACCCAGAGGGAGCCAGAGAGACGGCTCAGGGGGTAGAGTGCCTGACCGGTCCGCCCGAGAACCCAAGTTCAATTCCTGGCCACCTAGTAGTAGTAGTAGGCCAAAAAAAAAAAAAAAAAAAAAAACACCCAGAAGGTAGAAAGTGAAGGGTACAAAGTCCTCCTGAGGCCCTTTATTTCTGGTAGAACCATCCACCATTCACCTTTTCTCTTTTTAAGACAGAGTCTCACTATTGCCTTGCCTGGCTTAGAACTGGCCTGGAACTCCTAGGACAAACTCTAAAGCTACCAGAGAAACCCTGTCTTGACAAACACAAAAAGAACTGCCCTCAAAGGTTGTTCTTCCTTTGCCTTACAAGTGCTGGACTACAAGGCATGTACTCTGTCACCTGCTCATCAACTTTTTTATAATTGAGAGAAACGGCCCAGGAATGTCAAGAGTCTTAGAAGTTCCATCCTTTGTGAAAATGCTGAGGCTTCCTATATGCTTGGTTGTATGCTGGCTATTAGAAACACCGTGGTAAGCAGAACACATACTGCCCCGACCTGTTTGGTGCCTGTAGTCTTGACAGTCAACAGATTTAACCAGTAGTAACATCCGTGTATAATGAGTAACTTCAGTGAATGCACTGAAGGAAGACTGAAGATGCTGTGGGAGCCTGTCCAGGGCATCAGATCAGACCTCCATGTTGGGATCATACTGTTTGCCTTCAGACATTGACACCCAGTGATGCCCTGATGGAATGGGACAGGATGGATGGAAGGATAGAGTGTCAGTCAGGAACCAGCATGAGCAAAAGCCCTGATGTCTTAATGTGCCAGTAAAGAAACTGGCACAGTAAGGGCCTGGCCGAGAGCTGGAAGGAGGCCACAGAGAAGAGTGGATTCATTTGACTGTCGGACAGAGCATTGTGCAAAGTGATGATGGCTTAAATTTTTAAATTATTTTTTATTCCTATGTGCATTTGTGAACATGTACCATGGCAAATATGTGGAGGTCAGATGACAGCCTTCAGGAGTCGGTTCTCTTCCACCATGTGAGTCCTAGGGACTGAACTCAGTCCATAAGCCTCAGCAGCAGGTGCCTTTACACACTAAGCCATCTCACCAGCCCATGATGACACCATTCCTAAGAGCAGTGGCAAATGGAGGTTGCACAAACTTAACAAATAATGAGGAGATTGACAAAACTGAATCTCTTGGTTCCTGGCCTGAGCATATGAACTGCTGATACTGCCAGCCATTACTCAGAGAACACTACCAGAAAGTCTGTTGGTACCAAGCTTGTGAGTTTTAAGTAGGTTTTTATTGTTGTTTATACCCAGATACAACTTTATAAGCTTTACAGATGTATATAAGGGTGAGGTAGAAAATGTCACAAACTGCTGACTCCCATATATGTATTCTTTAGGCTAAGAAAACAGTATTTTGGTACAAAGCGTCTATGTGTCCTTCACTGTTCCATCTTGTCCTTTCTTCCTGCAGAAATAAGCACAAACTGGCCATGTTGTCACATTCCTTAATCCCAGCACTTGAGAGTCTGGGGCCAGCCTGTTCTACATGGTGAGACTTTGTCTCAAAATAATAATAATAATAATAATAATAATAATAATCACAAGCCAGAGATTGTTTTGTTGTTTTTTTAATTTTTATTTTATGTGTGAGTGTTCTGCATCTAGTACCTGCAGCCATAAAAAGGCGTCAGATTCTATTATAGATGGCTGTGAGCCACCATGTGGTTGCTGGGAATTGAACTCGGGACCTCTGGAAGAGCAGCTAGTACCCTTAAGCTCTGAGACATCTCTCCAGCCCCCTGCCATAGATAGTTTTAATTCTTGCTTTGTTTTATATTTTTACCATATTTGATTCCTATACAGTATCTTCATTTGTTCTCATCCTTCTTAGTATTATATAAATGAAATCATGCTGTAAGTGTTCTAAATCTTGCTGTTTGTTTTGTTGAGACAGAGTCAAGATCACTATGTAAACCAGGCTGGCCTTCCATTCACAAAGATCCCACTGTCTTTGCCTTCTGAGTGCTATGATTAAGTTGTACACTACCACACCCACCCCTCTTCTGTGTCCCCAGTCTAATGTAGCTCTTGTTTTAGATGAAGTTTAGATGTAACTAGAGAATAGGTGAAGAAGGAGACTTAGGAAATGAGCAGGTTTGGCAGCAGGGATCGTGTTTAGTAGTAGTGCCATTATTTAGCCCCTGGTGTTGAAGGCCGTAGCACAACCAGACCAAAAATACTGTAGGATACAATCCATAAGAAGACTAACTGGAATTTTGGCAACTTGATTCTTTTTCTGACCCCAGCTTGGTGCTCTACCTAATCAACACTGTAACTTGTGTAAGATGATTGGTCTTCAGTGGAAAGGGTCACCATGGTGTCTCTCAAGTTCAGAGAGTTAACAACAGAACAAGGGCAGGCTTAGAGCTGAAGACTAGTCTGAACCTTTACCATGTCGCTGAGAGATTTGTCGGTTTTCTTGTAACAGACACAATGAAGAGTGGTTATAAGGACTAGAGATAATGGGAAATGCTCGTACATGCTGCTACTGCTGCTGCTTTGCAAGTATTTCTGTTGCCCATGCTTTGTGGCACAATGGGAGATCTGTGGGATACATCATTATAGGCTTTCTTGTCTTAACACTCATCTCTCCTGTGTTATCTGCTTTGTGAATATTGCTGTTTACCTCAGCATCCAGGGCACAGGTTTCAGGTGTGTCTTCAGCGTTTCTGGCCCCTCTACCCAGTTTCCTGATCCAGGTGAACTTGTCTTAGCTCTTGGCATGTGTTGTTTATTCTAGTAAAACAACCTTAAGGGAGAAAGAATTTATCTTAGCTTACAATTTCACGTTATAGTGTATCTTAATGGGTATTCTGTTGCATGAAGAGACACCATGACAAAAACTCTTATATTTAAAAAAAAAACAAGAACAAAAATCATTTAACTGAAGGCTTGTTTCAGAGTAGTAGTACATTACCGTCCTGGTGGAAGCATGCAAGCAGGCCAGGAGCAGTAGTTGAGAGCCTCATTCTGGTCCATAGGTAAAGAGAGAGACTGGATCTGGCATGGGCTTTTGAATCCTCAAAGCCTACTCGGTGACACACTTCCTTTGATAAAGTCACACCTCCTTATCCTTGTAATCCTTTCAAATAATTCTATTCCCCAATGACTAAGCATTCAAATGTATGAGCCTGTGGAGGACACTCTTACTCAAACCACTACATAGTCCATTACTGAGGGGAAGTGAAAGTGGCAGGAACCAGTCGCATTATAGTCACAGTCCAGAACAGAGAGAATAGTGCATGCATGCACACTTGTCCTCAGCCCCCTCTCTGTACTTACATGGTCCAAGCCAGGGCTTTGCTGGGTTTTTCTATATCAATTAATGCAATCAAAACAATACCCCACCAATATTTCTACAGACCAACCTGATGCAGATGATCCTTCATTGAGACTCTATTCCAGCATGATTTTAGGTTGTATCAACTTGACAAATCATTACACTTTTCTCTACCCACAATTCAGTTTCCTCTACTGCCTCTATGCACCTGAACTTCCTGTCTGGGAGGCCTAGTCAGAGCGTCTCAAATAGTTGATCCCTACTACCTTTGCTTCCTCAAGCACTTTGTGTGTCACTGTTTTATAGAGTAATTATGTTATTTTGTACTTAGTTACATGAATAGGTGTCTGTCTCTACTCCAAGGGACCAGACTTCTTGCTTTTGTGGGTCAGAAGCTGTATATTCTCAGGAGGCAACAGATAATATTTAGGCCTGAAAAAAACTTATTTAAATTGTAGGGTGTGCATCTATTCTTCAGAGTTCTCCCACTCAATCTTGCTTTTGCTGGTAACAGTTGAGAATAGCAAATACTTCTCCAACACCCTATACTCAGCTGCATCTTCCTGAGGAGCGATTGACCCAGTTTGAATATGTCTGTGGCTTGAGCTGGAGCAATGGAAGTCTAAGCAGGGCGTTCAAGGGAACAGTGAGGGGTGTGCACAGCACCTTTCTGGGAGAGGAGAATGGCATCCTCAGTGGAAGGGACTACCATGAATCTGAGTACCTCTGATTAGCGCCTTCCTGGACTCTCAGATGTGACATTGAGCAGCAGTTGGTGATTGGTGGTGATGAAGGAAACCACCTCCCATCTGTCGCCATCATCATTGCATTCGTTGGCAGAAGATCAAGTTGAAGTAGACTCTTGTTCTCAGGGCAAGCTGTGAGATTCACTGTGGCCATATTAGTCCCTGTCATTTATTTCAGAAGTTCTCTCGTTGGCTTTAAAGCAGTTGTCTCAGCTTTGTCCCTGCCGTACCCAGCCAGCTCTTGAGTTTTGAAGAACATCATTATGATTTTCTGATTTGGGATGTTTTTTCATTGTCAGTACTAGGCCTTGAGTCAAGGGCCTTAGGAATGTGATTCAAAGATCATTTCAGGGATGCCAGGAGCTTCTTCAAAGGAATTAGCCTTGCTGTCTCTACCAGGAGAGTGATGGATTTTTTTCTTCCCAGACTGTCAGGTGCTTAAAGTAATCATGCTTTCTTCTTGATGCTCTATGCCTCATCTGGTGCTTGCTTCTCTTTGTGGTAGGTCTCTTCCTTTAATGTTGCTGGTTCTCTTCTGGCATCTCTGCCCCCATTTTTAGGAAGACTTCCTTGGTTGCATGTGTTTCTGTGATGTGATTGAGCACAGGATTCCAGAGACGCATGATGATGACACAGGGCAGGGAAGAGAGGTAAAAGGGCTTAAAGAATGACTATGCTTTCCCTACAGGTTACTGCTGAAACTCAGGAGAAAGAAAAAATCATCACTCATTTGCAAGAGAAGGTTATATCCTTGGAAAAGAGACTAGAACAGAATTTGTCAGGAGAAGATCATGTACAAGAGCTCTTGAAAGAGGTACTGTCCACTCATGCTAACCAATATTAGAAAGGCATGGTGATGCTGGGTGTTGCATATGCTCTGAGTTTCTGATCTAGAGACAACTCTCTGCAACTTAGAGTAGCTCTTCTGGGCCCCAAACTCCTGGGCATAATCTGTCCTCCAACCTAAATTCTTGAGTAGCTGAGACTATAACCACATACCATGGTGCCTGGCTTATGCATTTTTGGATTGAAATCAAATACAGCCTTTAGGAGACCAGGTAGTGGTGGCAGAATACATCTTTAATCCCAGCACTTAGAGGCAGAGGCAGGTGGATCTCTGAGTTCAAGGCCAGCCTTGGTCTACAAAGAGAGTTGAAGGACAGCCAGAGCTAAACACAGAGAAACCCTGTCTGGGGGTAGAGAGTAGCCTTCAGGGCTGGGCAATGTATCCCAGTTATTATACTGCTTGCCTCGCATGTATAAAGCCCTGGATTCAGTCCCCAGCACTATATAAGCCAGGTATGGATATACATGTCTGTAATTCCAGAATTTAGAAGGTATAAACAGAGACTGTGCTTTGTTTCCCAGCCTTCCAGACCTGAATAATCAATCACTCAGAAACTATGTTAATTACAATACTGTTTGACCAATGGCTTAGGTGTATTCCTAGCTAGCTCTTACATCTTAAATTAACCCACTTCTATTAATTTGTGTATTGCCGTGGCTTACTGGTAGGTTCTGGTGTCTTTCTCCTTTGACAACTACATGGTGTCTCCTTGACTCCACCTATTCTCTCTATATACCTCTGTTCAGATTTCCCACCTAGCTTCATTCTGCCCTGCTATAGGTCAAAGTAGCTTCTTTATTAACTAATGGTAATAAAACATATTCACAGCATACAGAGGGGAATCCCACATCAAGAAGGTAGACGCAAAAGAATCAGGAAGTTTAGGGTCATGCTTGGCCACATGGTGAGTTTGACAGTAACCTAGGTTACATGAAACCTGGTCTCAAAACAAAACCAACCATGTGTCTCTTGTGTGTTTCTCAGAGAAGGGGAGAGCTTTGTTTACACAGCTATGTGATGACCAAGGCCACCCAAGCTGTTTTGTCTTGATGCACTGTTCCTTCCCCTACCTCTTCCCGGCCCCCTGCTTCTACTGGCAAGGAAAATTATTATAAAATCCTTCAGCTTGAGCAAGAACTACCTTGCATCATAGGTTTCCATTGGCTGGGGGAACTGTTAAACAGGCTGGTACGCCATGGTAGAGGTAAATTTTCTCTCCTCTTTGTAGTTCAGTGATTCGCCTTGTCATGACAAAGTTGACAAAGTCTTGAGCTTTAAGCTTACCCTTGAGCAGACTGTCAAGCCAAGCTTCTCCTGCTCTCCAGCCACTGCAGAACTCCAGAGCTTCCTGCACTAGCTGAAGGTCCCCTTCGCCTTCCTCACTCCTAAGAAACCAATCTTCCCAAACTGTGGATTCTAATGTATAAGTTGGTTTCCAGAGGCCAGCATCTGTGTTTGTATGTTATCACTGTGACTTAAATCAAGTCAGTTAATTTCTTTGTGTTGTCTTCTCTATAAAATTGAATTTATATAGTGTCAGACTTGATGAAATCAGAGTAAAAATTGGAGTGTAGTAGGTATTGTTGTTATTGTTGTTGTTCTATAGTCAATTATTATTAAAGAGTGAATAGCAATTACTTGGGGGGTTTGTTTAAAGTATGTATCTCTAGTCCTTTTCCCAGAAATGAAATGCTGACATCAGCATGCCTAGAGTAAGGCCTCACATTTAGCCGGCCTCCCTAGTAAAGCTAATGCCAGGTTTTAAAAAAATCCATTTGAAAATTTCTGCCTGCAAAATAAAATAAAACTTTGGCAACTCAGAAGAGTTACTCATCGCCCTACCCGTTGCCCAGCACCACAGCTGTTCTGTTGATCTGAGCTCGCCATCACTGTGACTTTGGAGGAGCTGTATTTCTCTGAACACATCAAACTTTTTTTATGTGATCCTGGCTGGCCTCAAACTCAGAGATCTGCCTGCTTCTGCCTCCTGATTGCTGAGATTTTGTGCGTGTACCACAACAGCCAGCTTTTAGTGTATGCTTTTGTTGTTAGGCATTTGTCGCAGCCTTGCAAACAAAGGACTGTGCCAAACTTATTTGTGTGTCCTCTGTGATATGTGAATTATATCTCACTTTGCGATGACTCCATCTATTCATGTCTCCTATGCCCAGCACAAATGGTACAGCATCAATAAATACTCATTAAATACAGTAACAACTCTTTTCTCTTACAGAGAACAGTTGCCGAACAGAATCTAGAAGATACTAGGCAGCAACTCCTGGCTGCCAGGAGCAGCTACACCAAGGCCATTGACCTCTTGGAGACTCGGGTATGACCTCTCTCCAGTATTTGCTGTAATGTGTGTAACCTGGCTGGAAGGCACTTTGCCTAAGAAGTTCTTGGCCAGGTCATCTGTATTCCAAGAACTATATTTGGTGGAGTTGAGGAGTTGTTTTGTTTACTCTAGCCACAACTGCATTTCTTAGCTCCCATTATGGGTGTTACACAGCCTTGGTTTTGGTTGGTTTGTCTGTTTGCCAGTTTAGTAACTGTGAAGTGATGGCTCACTATATTTACTGCTGTGCTTAGTGAGTTCTCACCTATTGCTCCATCTTCCTATTGACCTCTATAGTTTTCCCTTAGAATTGTTTATACATATCCTGTACCTATTTTTCTTTGGTGTTTCAGTCTTGTCTTAATTAGGTTATAGGATTTTGTTACATAGTCTAGTTCCTAATCTTGTCAGTTTCAGTACTGAACCAGTCTGTGTATCTATCCCTTGATGAACAGAAATTCTGAAATTTGATATCATCAGAGTCATCACTTCTATCCTGTGTGATCTGAAGCTCTATTTAAAAAAATCCATTCATGTTTGGATGATGGTGGCTCACACCTTTAATCCCATCTCTCAGGAGCAGAGGCAGGTGGATCTCTGTGAGTTTGAGGCCAGCCTGGTCTACAGAGCGAGTTCCAGGACAGCCAGGTCCACACAGAGAAACGCTGTTTCAGGGGGGAAATACATCCATGCATGTGTCTAAGTCACAGAGATATTCTATATTTTCATTATATAGATTTGTCCACATACTAGAGCTCTTGTTCATATGCACACTGTTGTTGTGTGGCATTCAGTAAGAATTCAGCTTTCCCTTTCTCCACATTTCTTACATTATTTGCTGAATAGTCTGTTCTTCCTCATTGTCTCTGATGTAGCTTTAGTACAGACTGAGTTTTTCTGTACATGTTGGAATGTCTCTGCCTTTGCCAGTGTATTTCTTTAGTAGAATGGTTGGCAATATGTATCTCAGAATTTGTGGACAGAGTAAGGTCGAAATTCATGTGATCAGCAACCCCACTGCTGGCGATCATTCCCAAGGAAGTTATCGAAACCACATCAAACAACTTTGTGTGAAAATATTAATGACTGCTTTATTTTAGATTGACGAATATGTCAAAGAGAGCATTAGAGAGGGCTCTGCAGGTAAAGGCACCTGCCACATCAACCTGACAACCTGGATTGATCCCTGGAGCACACATAGAGAGGAGACAGTCACCTCCACACAGAGCTCCTCTTCAGCCTCTACAGCATGCTGTGGTGTGTGCATGCATACACCATCTAATATGTTCCACATACAACAAGCAAAAATTCTAAAACCTACAATAAATAAAAATGTAAAAATAACCCAAGTACCAGCAGGTAATCCTATAGATGTACGGTCAGTAAAGCAGGAAGCACTCTGTGAGAAAAAAATAATCTCCAGTCTGCATGCATGTTATTAGTGGGAGGTAAAGCATGGTGGTGTATTTAAACTGTATGAAAACTATTAGAAATTCATAAAAACTTGAAGAAAAGACATTAGAGTGGTATTGCTTTATAATGGAAGACTTGGGGCTCTTGCTCATTTCTATAATGTAGGATTTTATGTTGTTATGGAATTGAAGCTTGTTCATTCAAGAAACTCACTCTACCACTGAGCAACGTCTGTGTAGATCCCTGAGTTGGACTTTTTTTTCTTGTTTGAATTTTATTTTGTTTTCATTTTGTTTATTTTTAGACAGGTTCTCCCTATGTAGCCCAGGCTGGCCTGGAAGTTGCTACAATCCTGTCTCAGCCTTCCAAATGCCATGTTTCTTCCATGCCCTTCCATGCCTTACCTGTTCTGTTTTGATTTTGTTTTGCTGATTTTTTTTAATGTTTTGTGGATGGGGTGGGATGAGTTTTTGTTTGTTAATTATTATTTTTTGTGTATGAGTGTTTTGCCTACATGTATGTCTGTGTACCATATGCAGACCTGGTGCCTTTAGAAGCCGGAAGAGGTCATCATAGAGTCTCTCAAACTGGAGTTATGGGTGTCTGTGAGTTCCATTTGTGTGCTGGGACCTGAACCCTTGATCTCCTGGTAGATCAGCTGTGCCATCTCTCCAGCCCTTCTTGTTTGTTTTGTGACAGGGTCTCTCTATGTAGCCCTGGCTGACCTAGAACTTCCATATTGGCCTCAAAACTCTGCCTGCTTCTGCTGGGATTAAAGACCTGTGCCTTCTTTATTTATGACACCTAACGCTGGCTTGCATGTGCGCTCTCTCTCTCTCTCTCTCTCTCTCTCTCTCACACACACACACACACACACACACACACACTTGCCTGTAGCCTAGGCTAGCATCAAACTCATTATATGGTGAAGAATAGCTTTGAACTTCTGATCTCCTGTCTCTACCATGACATGTCTCTACTCATGTCTCTACACTCATTACCAGTGTAATGAGTACTCTGATTACAGGTGTGTGCCACTACATCTTTGTTTCTGGCTTAATTTTAAACCATACATTAAATCCTCCCAATTTCTTGTGAGTAGAAAGAATGTTTGTGTTTTCCCTCAGGTGAAGGATCTAGAGCAAAGCCTAAAGGCCGCTGAGGAGCAGCTGAGCCAGAGCAGGGATGTTGTGACTGCCCAGGAAGCCCAGATCCAGAAACTTGTAAGTGTTCACCACATGCCAGGTTCCAGTGCTTTCCCTCAACATCAGATGTCTGCAACAGTATCTGGTTTTGGCATGAGTAGAGCAAGAGGTGGGAGGGTTATCTAGAGGGTCAGTGTTACCCAGAGCCAAGGACTAACTGGTAATTTCCACCCAATATCCGCTTTTGTTGATGATTCTGTCTTGTGGGTCCTTGAGAGTTCAAAGCCTAGTTTTCAGGCAGAGCTGTGGAAAATAGGTCAAAACCATGGAATGATCTGAGTGTGGTGACACATTCCTTCGTTAGTCCCAGCTGAAGAGGGCTAGTCTCTTTGAGTTAAAGGCCAGCCTGGCCTACACAGTGAGTTCCAGCCGGTCGAACCCTCTTTAAAAAAAAGAAAAAAAAAAAATAGGTTGAAGCATTTGGACAGTCATCAGACCCTGAGTGAGCTAATAATTTAGACATAGGGAAATAAAAGCAGCCACCATTGATTTCTTGTTTATGACAACCCTAGCACTATTCAGAATGCTTTTTCAAAAAATATTTATTTATTTATTATTTATACAATATTCTGTCTGCGTGTATGCCTACAGGCCAGAAAAGGGCACCAGACCTCATTACGAATGGTTGTGAGCCACCATGTGGTTGCTGGGAATTGAACTCAGGACCTTTGGAAGAGCAGGCAATGCTCTTAACCACTGAGCCATCTCTCCAGCCCCCTCAGAATGCTTTTTACTTAGTTTTTGCAGCACAACTAGTAAACTGCCACTGAATGTCATAATCTATAGAAGAGATGAGCTCAGAAGTGACAGGACGCACATCCATCTCGTGTATATACTGTTCTTCACCACTTCATCCTCCTGCCTCTGCGCAGAACACATCAGCCGTAGAAGTCCAGTGAGTAGGGGCCTATTTCTCAGTATACACCGTGAAGGGTGTACCAGTGGCATCAAGGCAAATGGCAGGCTTCAGTTTCTAAGGAAGGCCAGACCCAGAAGCAGTATGTACAACATGCAGTTGTTGAAGCCACACCAAGGTAGCAGAGGTCAAAGAGGGTAATTTCTGTTAGATAGTCAGAATAAGGCCCTCTGAAATTTTTGTCTTGGCTAACCGTCCTCTGGTTTTCCTGCAGATCACTAAACACCAAGAGAACAGCCTTTCCCAACAACAGGTTCTTGCCCTGGAGCAGCATTGCAGGGAGCGCACCCATGCACTAGAGGCCCAGATTGAAGCTCTGGAACAAACACGGGTGGCCGATCAGATAGCTTCAGAGCAGGGAATGGTGAGTCCATGCAGGATCACTGGGTCACTGCATCTGAGAAGAATGGTGCCTCTCTAGGCTGGAGAGCCACTGCAGAGAGCAGTTCACTCCTCCCTAGAAGGACTTCCCTGCTTAGGAGGCTGGAAGTGAAAGTACTGCTTTCTACAGAGATGCACAGCGGATGGGTTTTCCACCAGGACATCTTCATGTATTCCGATAGTCCCCTCCGTTTTTCCCAGTTTTTTCTGAACTCCATAGTCTTCCCTAATGGCTTCTCCTTTCTGTGATCCCTCAATATGTCCCACAGTCTTTCTTGAGAGGATCTCGAACGCTAGACATGTGCTCTACCACTGAGCCACTCCTGCCCCTGGAGAGGTTCGGTGTTTTCCTCCCTTGTCTCCACCTATTGCTTATTCTCACATTTAGAGTGACCAAAAGAAAAGAAGGCCAGAGTTGTATATCAGTTGCCTTCCTCCGTTGTTCTCCACTGATTTTGCTAGACTAGCTGGTGTAGTGTGAATTCTATTTGGTCTTAAATAATAAAAACCCAGAGTTTTTATTAGGGGGTTAAAAACTGAAAGAGAAGCAGAGCAGCAGCCACTAATTCTTACCTCTACAAAACCCTCAGACTGAATCCTGAGCTCCTGTATCCTCCTGCCTTATATTCCTCTCTCCTCTTCCCTAGTACTGGGATTAAAGGTGTATGCCACCACTGCCCAGCTAAAACAAGCTTTCTTAACCACTGAGCAACCTCTCCTGCTCCTCTTCCCTCTCACTGCCCAGCTGTGAACCCCAAAGATCCAGCAGTGCAATTGCAGGCATGTGCCATCTCTCGTGGTTCCCACATGGGTGCTGGGAATCTGAACTCAGATCTTCATACCTCCCTGATCACTTCATCAGCTGAGCTGTCCCCTCAGCCTGGAAAGTCCATTTCAGAAGGACTATGCTAGGAGGAAACATGGCAGGTAAGACATTTCTTATGTGTGCTCTGCTCAATTTCCAGCAACAGCTGCAGCAGGAGAATGTGGCCCTTAAAGAAAGCAGAAATGAATGTGAACGTTCTTTACGGCTCCACCAGTCTGAACTAAAGAAACTAAAGGTACTTGTCGAATAGAATCAGTCCCACAGAAGTTCTCTCTGTCACATGTTTGGAGTGGACAGTGCAAAGGAAATGGCAGCTGTCTGCTGAGTCTTCCCAGTGGCCCGGGAGGACAAAGGCTACACTGCTTTTGCAGTTACTGCTGTTGAGGCTCTGAGGGCAGTCAGTCCATGTACCTTAAGTTAGAGGTTGGGTTAGTCTCCTCTAGCTGTTCACTCCATCCCAAAGCCCAGTTATGCATCCTTGTCTTGTCAGCAGCCGGCTGGAAGCTGTGCTGTCCGAGCACTCCTCTGACTTATGTTTTCAGAAGGACACACACGGAAGTCCTTACGGAAGATGTTTGTGTATGTTAGGGACCTTGTACAGAAGTGAACAATATTTTTTCCCATCTGTGAAGTTGGTGCTTTAATCAGACCTTACTCTTATTGTTCACTAGACAAAACTGCATGCCCACATTCTATAGGTTCCCTAGGCTCCCTGGGCCCTTCATAATACCTTTGGGAGGTGAGTCATGGCAATATTCTTCCAGTTTGGACCTAGTATCAGGCCTTTGCAGACCTTCTCTCTATCCACATCTATGGCTTGGGGCCTGCCCCTTGCAAGCTCCCAGTGGCAGTATCCAGGGAGTTGCTTAGGCACTATTAAAGTGGTACTGCATCGTGAAAAGAATGTATCTTTCAACCAGATTTTCTTTTTTCTTCCTAAACTAAGACTCAAACCCAAGGCCTCGTGCATACTAGATAACCACCGTAATACTAAATTATAAATCCATCACTTTCTGTATTTTTTTGAGACAAGGCCTTACTAAGTTGACTTAGGCTGACTTTGAATTTCTCAATAGCCCAGAGAAGGGTCCTGAACTTGCAGTCCCCCTGATTCAGCTCCCCAGGTAGCTGTGATTACAGGCCTGCACCATAAAGCCTGGATTGAAGTGAGTTGTTTTGTTTTTCTGGTTTTTTGTTTTTATTCCATCAGCAGGTGTCAGAGTGCACATAATTGTCAGGCATCATAAGAGGTGCTGGGATGTGTTAGGAATAAGACAGATACTCTCTTCTTCATGGAGCATATAACTAGAAATAGTGAACTAGCTGCAAATAGAGGCCAATGCTGTGAGGAGAACAAAGCCAAAAATCATGGGCAGGACAGAAGAGGAAAGGAAGACTTCTGAGACATTTCAACAAAGCTATGAATAGTGAGGCCAGCAGTTAGGCATTTGAAGGACTCTGAGGTAAAAGAAAGCCCATTCTGTTCAAAGAACAGCAGGAAGGCCAGTGTGGCCAGAGCTGAGTGGCAGGGAGAACAAGGCTGCCAGTACAGAATGTAGCAGGAATTAGGAAATATAATGGAAAGCCATTACAGGGATTGAGCAGGAAGGCATGGAAAAGGTTTTGTTTTGAAGGGATTTCTCTATGCATAGTAACTTTTAGTAACACAGGCAGGAAAGAATGGCTGTGTTAATTAAGTATATGGAAGACAAATTCAGATTCTGGATAAATGCTAGCCATGGAACATTTGGGACTTGCCACGGATTGCAAGGAGAAAAAGAGAGGAATAGGTGATGGAGTGACTCCTTGATTTGGTCTATGGAACTCAGTTCCATGGCTTCAGCACTTAGACGTTTGAGCTAAGATTCCTTTGTGGGCACCTTGGAGCAGATGTACATTGTTGGGACTCTAGGAGTATTTTGGTCTCTGACCACTAGATGTCAGTAGTCATCATCAGATGTCAGATGACAACCAGAAATGTCTTTGGGGACCAAAATTCCAGAGGGTTATCTCTATGTGTGCAGTTATCCCAGAGGACAAATCTGGTAATTTTTTAACTGACAAGTCTGGAAGTCAGAACATAGGTTTAGGGTAGATATAAATGTAAAAAACAGAATAGCAGCTGGAGTGGTAGCTCACACCTTTAATCCCAAGCCTTAGAAGGCAGGGGCAGGCAGCCTTAAATTTAAGGCCAGCCTAGTCTACAGAGGGATTCCAGGACAGCCAGGAATACAGAGAGAAACTCTTGGCGGGGGAGGGGGGGGGGGAATGGGGACGGACATATAAAGGAAGAAAGGTAGGAGGTGGGAGAGAGAGAAAGAGAGAGAGAGAGAGACTTCTGGGCCAAAAATGGTGGTGCACTCTTTTGGGAGGCAGAGGCAGATGGATCTCTTTGAGTTGGAGGCTAATCTTGGTGTCCATAGTGAATTCAAGGCCAGACAGCAGAACTACATAGTGAGACTGTCTCAGAAACAGTGGGGAAGGGGAAAGGCAAAGTATTGGGCACCTGTAATTTCAGCACAGAGGAGGCAGGCAATTAGATAAAATGGAGGATCTGGAACTAGATGGAGGGTTCTCCCTAGTTAATTTGGATGAGCCCTAAATGATCAAGAGTCCTCACTCAGGCAGAGGTACAATTCCATACAAGACAGAAGGCATGATGTGACAGCAGAAACATGTCGAGGTATTTTCATTTTGGTTGAGACAGTCTCACATAGCCAAACCTTGCCTCAAAAATCCCTGGCCAAGTCGGGCGGTGGTGGCGCACGCCTTTAATCCCAGCACTCGGGAGGCAGAGGCAGACGAATCCTTGTGAGTTCGAGGCCAGCCTGGTCTACAAGAGCTAGTTCCAGGACAGGCACCAAAAACAACAGAGAAACCCTGTCTCGAAAAAAAAAAAAAAAAATCCCTGGTCAAGGCTGTTTTTGAACTCATGATCCTCTTGCTGCCCTCTCCCAAGTGCTAGACTTACAGGCATGTGCCACCATGCCCAAATTCAAGTAGAGAACTGCAGATGCTGCTGCACGGCTGCCTTTGAAGATGGAAGAATGGGGCTGGGCCTGAGGGTTGCAGTTCTGGAAGCTTGGAGATGCAGAAAAACGACTTTTTTTCCTGAGGGAGCACAGCCTGCTGATATCTTGGTTAAGCCCTATACAGAGGGCAAGTGTTGGAGGAAGGCCTCTTGTTGTTTCCCGGCCACCCAGTCTCCAGAAATAATCACACAGAAACTATATTATTTAAAACACTGCTGGTCCATTAGCTCTAGCTTCTTATTTGCTAACTCTTATATCTTAATTTAACCCTTCTCCATTAATCTATGTATTGCCACGTTGAGTGTGACTTACCGGGTAAAGTTCCATCTAGCTCCGGCGGGGTGACATGGCTTCTAACTCCTCCTTCTTCTTCTCTGCATTTAATTTAGTTTTCCATGCCTACCTCTATTCCCTGCACAGGCCCAAGACAGTTCCATTATTAATCAATGGTAATCACAGCATACAGAGGGAAACCCCACATCAGGCGAGGGAGTTAACTCAGTTGGTAGTGTTTGCTCAGCATTCACAAAGTGCAGACCTAGTATCATGGTCAACCATGTTAACAAGTTCAAGGTAGTGTGTTAAGGCAGCTGTGGCAAATTAATACACAGACACCAGAAGCTCTGCTGTCTAGGGTGTCATTCTTGGCTCAGTAAATGGGCAAGAGCTACCCCAGCCATTTGAATGAGAGAGTATTCTAACATGACATCCTCAGCTGATTAGCAGGCATGTGGTGAAGCAGATGGATTTCTGTATCTCAAAACAAACTAAATGAAGTTTCCAAAGACACAATGCCAGGTACAAGTACACCTGATTCATGAGGTACCAGGGTTTTCCTCTAAACAAAGTTTTGCATACACTTTGTATCCATGGGAAACTCTCAGACAAGATTTACATAGGGCAACAAAAGGTATCTGTAACACAAAGAATGGATTAGGGACTGAGTAAAAACTCCAGAGCTAGGCCAGGTATAGCCCAGCGGGGTTTCATGGCCACCAAAGGGTTACTTGCTAACCCTCGGGCACCAGGTCAAGTATTAATTTCTGCCACAAGTTTGAGGCCATCCTGATCTACAAAGTGAGTCCAGAACAAGCAGGACTATTACACAGAGAAACCCTGTCTTAAAAAAAAAAAAAAGAAAAGGAAAGAAAAGGGGGGGGGGCGGGGGTGTCGCACGCCTTTAATCCCAGCACTCGGGAGGCAAAGGCAGGTGGATCTCTGTGAGTTCAAGGCCAGCCTGGTCTACAAAAGCAAGTTCCAAAGCTACACAGAGAAATCATGTCTTCAAAAACAAAACAAAACAAAAAAAGAATTACATTTACACTATTCAGTCCATTTGTATTTGGCTTATTTAGAGAAAATAAATGCTTCATTATTTATTCTGTCTTACGAGTCCAAAGCTCTGTGCCTCATTTACCTTCTATTATAACCAAGGAAAACTGTAACTATCACTGTCTAGTCTTCAGCTCCATCAAAGACCCCAGAAGGATAAAATACTACCTTAGTAAACAGGAAGTGCAGTGTAAGCAGCTTTCAAACTAAAAGAGATAACAGAAACAGTTGACTGCCTGGACAGTCACCCAAAGTTCCTATGCAATGTTGGGGCATCCATCTTCAGCCTACAGGCCTAGAATATCTGACAGGCTTTTCTGTGATGCAAGAACTTTGCCAGAGTTGCTGCCTTTTGTGTCTTGCTTGTCTAGTTTGGACAATATACTGTCAGTGGTTAGGGGAAGGGCAGTTTCTTCCCAAATGGCTAGCTTTTGCCACAAAGAAAACAAACTCCATTTGGAGATTCTTTGATTCCCATCATCCTTTTTTGAAGTAGATTGGTGCTGCCAAGAGCAGATGTGTCTCACTGTCAAGAAATGTGTCTCATGTTATGAAAACATTTTAAACGCCATAATCTATGGTTTTTGAAGTATTTGAAGATCACTTGTCTATCTAAAATATATTTTTGCGTGACTCTGAGAACATACCTAACATGATTATAAGTTTCATAATTATAGATGACTATTAATTAGCCTTTATTATCCTAAATAGCTTTTGAAAACTAAAACTTTACATGATCTTTTTAAATGAACTGCATAGGTACAATACCTTAAACAAGAACAGAAACATAGGACTGGAGAGATGGCTCAGAGGTTAAGAGCATTGCCTGCTCTTCCAGAGGTCCTGAGTTCAATTCCCAGCAACCACATTATGGCTCACAACCATCTGTAATGAGATCCAATGCCCTCTTCTAACATTGTGCACATAATAAATAAACATATAAATAAATAAATGTCTTCTTAAAAAGAATAGAGACATATACAGTACAACAAAAATAACCTTAAGTCTGTATCAATATACAAAAATCCATACCAATGTAAAATATTTAAGACAAATGGCTATTTAAAAATAGACTGAACAATCTACCCTTTTTTTCATCATTTTTATACTGTATCCCTTTTCCTTCAGAAAGAGATCTTTGAATCTAACTCCTTTGTTTAGCTTTTTTCCTGACCATGGCCAATAACAACTTGTAACTATAACCCATCAAATAACCAAAAGCCATCCACCCACCCCTTGGGAATGTGGTGTCGTGTTCTCTAGACTGCTTCCTGTTGCTTGAGTGCGTTGGCGTCTTTAAGAGACCTGGGAAAAGTGGGATAATGGTCAAGTCCTGGGAGAGTTTGCAGTCTCTGTACAGTGGGAAAATGGAAAACTTATCTGAAGTCCTGGCTCTCAGAGTAGTCTGTGAGCCTGGACTATCTCAGCCAGCAGCCTTGATGCTGTTCTGGATGCAGAACTCTGAGGAAACTGCAACAGAGGAATTCTGAGATGCTGGATCACCTGGGCTACCTGTTTTCATTGGTATCTGGTCCCCTTGTTCCTCTTCTTTAATTTTTATTTCATGTGTATTGGTATTTTTGCCTGCTTGCCTGTTTATCTGAGTGAGATTGTCACATTCCCTGAAACTGAAATCACAGATACTGTGAGCTACCTCGTGAGTACTGGGACTTCAACTGCTGAGTCTTCATATGTTTTTAAAGGACTGTAATTTGGTATATACATATGTTTAGGGGTTTTTGTTGTATTATTGTTTTAAAGACAGGCTCACTCTACATTTGCATCTGTTCTGGAACTCACAGAGATCTGCTGCTTCTGCCTCCCAAGTGCTGTGATTAAAGGTGTTCATCACCACACCCAACTTATTTTTATTTTTAAAACTAGCTGTTCCCTGAACATCTTCCCCTCCCCGAAAACCAGACTCAACCCCAGGTGTATAACTGCCATATGTGGAAGGTCAACAACTCCTGAAAGGTATAAAACCATGCTTTAGCTCTTGTATCTTTGAAAGGCTGGAGTATCAACTTGGAATTCAGTAGTTAGGGATTCATGGGGCTCTGAGGCACTTCAGAGTTATACTTACCTGGCCATGTATTTCAGTGTAACCCCTCATTATCATAAATTTGTTGTGCATGCATGGATGAATGCAAGTGTGTGAGCTTGTGCATGTCTGTGTATGTCCATCTGTGTCTGTGTGTATAGTATTGCTGCAGTTGGAATTTAGTTGGTATTTGGTTGTTTAGTTGTCTTGTACTGGGCCTGAAACCTAGAATCTGCCTTGTGCTAGGTTAAAGCAACCTCCAGCCTTGTTTGTTTGCCTTTTGGAGATAGAGTATCACCATGTAGCTCAGGCTGGCCTGGAACTTGGTCTGCCTCAGCCTCGCAGACTCTAGGATTGCAGGTCTGTGCTACCTACCACACTTGGCTCAGTTCTCATTTTAAAATGGAAGTGGTAACCTCTGACCCCAAGAAGACTATTTAGAGGATCAGACATGACCGCAGATGAAAAGTGTAAGGGACAGTTTCCCAGCATGAGTTTCCTTTGTGACTCAGACTGCCTTCTGTCTTCTCAAATATGTGGAGGCCGTCTGCCTTTCTAGACAGCAGCAGTCACAAGCATCTCTCCAAAACTTCACAATTCCTGAGTAGGCAAAGTATTCTTTTTGGTTGTCCAAGACAGGGTTTCTCTGTGTGACAGTCCTGGCTGTCCTGAAACTCAGTCTGTAGACAAGCTGGCCTCAAACTCCCTGAAATCCACCTGCCAGGCGAAGCAATCTTACCAAGTCAGAATCTCAAGCTCCTTCCCTTGTACCAACAGAGCCCCATCCTAAACCTGCATTTGATAGTGGTAGATGGTCAGAGGACCCTGGCAAGGAGTCTTGTGCAGTGTATTTTAGGGTCTCACCTTTAGTCTCTCAAGTTCAGGTACTAGTTGTCCTTGTCTGCTCGAGCTAGACTCACTGTGGAGGCAATTGTGATGGCTCGAGTAGGGTTCAGCATGCCATGTGTGGCCCACAGCTGACTCAGGGAAAGTCGGTGGGAAGAGTCAAGATTCCACAAACCCAGAGAAACTGATGGTCTGCGTTCTATCTGCAGTAGACAGCTTCTTCTGAGGAACAGGCAGACACCAGCTCTGATCTTGGAACTTTTCAGGAGATCTTCAAAGTATAAAGAAGAGTCCTTTTGCACTATGGACTATGGTTGTCCATCTCGGTGACAAAGCCACCTGCTAGCTGAATTTGGTCAGGGGGAAGAAGTGTCATTATAGGTCAGGCTTGAATCATATGCCTCAAAATTAGGGCATCATTATTGACAGTCCAGTCCTTGCCGTGTAGAGCTCCAAGGTGGGAATGGGGAACAGAAATAACATGCTTACACAAAAAAAGCAGGGAGTTCTGGGTAGTCAGAAACAGCAGGCGTTGCTTCATGTTCTCCCCAGGGTATCCCTGACCATGGTCAAAACCTGAGAGGTTGTATTTTACACTGTGACTCTTGGCAAGCATAAACACACTGTCAGCAGAGAACAGTGGTGACCAGCAGTCAGGGCTGCCGAAGCCCTGCCAGTCAGCTAGGAAACTGGGGTTTCTGCTCACAGTGAAGGTGTTTCAGGTAGAAGAGGCTGGCATCCAGAGTCCCTGGATTTGGGTTCAGCTGGCTCTGGCTCTCAATCTGGTCCTGCTACCTGCTAGTTCTAGTGCCTGAGGCAAACCACCAAACTTCTTGAAGCCTGTTTTCGCTCTTAGAAAATGGGCCCATGGTCTGGTGATATGGCTAAGCTGATAAAGGCCTTGCTACCAAGCCTTCTGACCTCCACAGACACACATTAGTAATAAGTGTAACTTTAAAAGTTTAATAGGATTATGAGAACTAGAGAAGTAGCTCAACAGTTAACAGAACGTCCTGCGCTTCCAGAGGATCAAGTCAGCCAGTTCATAACTGCTCGATCTACAGCTGCAGGGTATCTGTGGCCCTCTTCTGGCCTCTGCAGGTACCCATACGCACATGACATACACTCACACTTGTACACATGGAAGTAATAAAAGTAAGTGTTTAAAAGGATGACTCAGTGAAAGTGGGATCTTGTAAACCTCATTGGCTACTTCATTACACTTCCTGTGACCAGGTTGTGCCTATGAACTGTCTTGTTTTGTGTGGATTTCATTAGGCCAGTTGTGGTTACTGATGGTGAGCCCCCAGTACCGTTGGCCCAGAGTCATCAGAGGGAAGCATGCAGGGAAGCAGGGAGAATGTTGGCCTTGGGTGAAGGACATGCATAAGAAAATGTAGACTGTTTTGGGACTCAGTCACCTACGTGTTTTCTGAATTCTAGGATGAATGGAGCCAAAGAGAAATTGTGAGTGTGGCTATGGCTCAAGCCCTGGAGGAGGTGCGGAAACAGAGGGAAGAGTTCCAGCAGCAGGTAGGCCCCTAGCTGGCTTCTAAGGTGTGGGCCAAAACCATGTTCCCCTGCAGTCTTAGGAGCACTGTGCCTCCTACCCAAGGTAGGCATGTCAAGGGTCTCAGGGAACACAGTCAATTGGGAGATGCCATATGACCTGTAGGGTACTAGGAGAAACTATTACCTAGAAACCTTACTCCAGGTGATGCCCCTTACTAACTTTTCATGGCTAGTGGTAGTTAGTTATAAAACATTGATTGGAGAAAAGGTAGGGATCAAACAATATGATTCTGGGAAGTAGTACATCATCACCCACTACCCACAAAGTTGAGTTCCTAGCCAGAACTGTAGGGAAATCCATACATGGGGACAGACAGAGCACCTGGCTCTGGTCCTGCTGGCTAGAGGCCTCCAATGAGTTCTTGAGCAGTCTGAGCCCTAGTCACTCTGAAAAGAACTTAGGGTAATCATACCTTTTGACACCAGAAAGAGGTGATGCAACAGACTGGTGCAGCATGGGTGCTCAGGAAAAGATGTATTGAGAGGCTGACCAAAACTTCCCATACTCTGGCTTGGCCGAGCATAGGCTATAGGGGCACCCTGTCAGGGCCATTCAGCAGAATGGATCCAATTGCCATAGGTTTGTTCTAGGCTATGGATTCCATGGAGGGCTTCCCCCTACCCCAAGTTGGAAAATGGAATCCCTGTAGGAGAGGGGATTTTTTCAGCCCTTCTCATGCTGAGTTTCCTGCTAAGGCTGCCCAGTTGACAGCCATCATAGAAGAGAAAAATCGGAGCCTGTGTGAAAAGGACGAGGTGCTTCTCCAGAAGGAGCAGGAGCTTGACCAGCTGGAGAAAGGTGAGGGGTTGACCCCTGACCAGCGAGGTGTCGCTAGTGAGCCAGCAGTCACTGGCTCACACTGTGCTCCTGCCACCCTAGGTCACAGTTCTGCCCTGCTGCAGATGCACCAACTACAGAATGAACTGGAGGCCTTGAGGAGCTGCAGAGCCCAGGAGGCAGTGCCAGCTACAACAGGACAGGACCCCCTGCAGCTACAGGGCCAGGAGTCACTTGTGAGTGCTGTCCTGTCCGGTACTGGGGGTAGGGTAGAGTGCCTGCTCTGCACTTCTAAGGTCCAGGAGTCACTTGTGAGTGCTGTCCCGTCCGGTACTGGGGGTAGGGTAGAGTGCCTGCTCTGCACTTCTAAGGTCCTGCCTTTGTGGTAAAGGTGCTCAGCTTTCTAGGAGGATTGAGGCCTACAGGATCGTCTGTGTGGCAGCACCTGTTAGTGTGCCTGTTGATCACCTGGCAGCCACTGGATAGACTCTTCTTATGTCTGACCTTACTTCCCACTAACTAACTAGCTGCTGCAACGTGCCAGAGCACACCTATGCAGTGAGCGGCACTTCTTCCCTGCAAATCTGCATCTCAGCTTCTACCTTTTATCCTGTTGCCACTATTTTGTAGGTCATCTCAAAAGCCATGCAGAACTCTGAGTATGAGCTTCCGGCAGCAGAGGGAACTCCAAATGGTGAAGTTGAAGCCATGAATATAGAGCAGCTACAGAAAGAAAAGCAGGACTTAGAGCAGCAACTTACAGAGAAAAATAAGGTGAGGACACCCTGCACCTGGCTAGCTGTGGGTCTGCTCTAGTCCAGCCCTCCTCACCACTGTTACCCTTTCCACCCAGTCTCCTGTCTCTCCTCTAGAGGTCGGGGCTGACTTTCTGATGGCTTTTGGTCTCACTCCTCTGTCCTACTGTGTTTACAGTGAAGTCCTTGTTGAGTGTAGTGATACACACCTGTAACCCTGCACTCTGGAGAAAGATGCAGGAGGGCCAGAAGAAAAGGGCAGCCTGGACCATGTGAAACTTTCTTTAGAGACTGGTCTTACCACATAGCTCATTTGTTTGTTTGTTTGTTTTTGTTTTGTTTTTTCAAGATAGGGTTAGTGTTTCTCTGCATAACAGCTCTGGCTGTATTAAAACAGAACCGCCCAGTGTACATACACAAAGCCTTTCTGTTTGTTTGTTTGTTTTGTTTAGTTTTTAAAACTGTCACGCAGTGGTAGCACAGACCTTTAATCCTCTGGGGCAGAGGCAGGTGGACCTCTGTGAATTCAAGGCCAGTCAGGTCTACAGAAGGAGTTCCAGGACAGGTTGCAAAGCTACAGAGAAACTGTGTCTTGAAAAAAAAAATCTTTAAAACTTTTTCCTTTTTTTTTTATTTTGGTTTGTTGCTGTTTGTTTGTTTGTTTGTTTGGGGACAGGGTTTGTCTCTGTTACCCTGACTGTCCTGCAGCTTGCTCTGTAAATCAGGCTAGCCTCAAACAGAAATTTGCCTGCCTTTGCCTCCCAAGTACCTGGGCAGTGCTGGTACACGCCTTTAATCCCAGCACTTGGGAGGCACATTCCTGTGAGTTTGATGCTAGCCTGGTCTACAGTGTTCAAGGACAGCCAGAGCCACGTTGAAGAAACCTTGTCTCAAAAAAAAAAAAAAACAAAAAACAAAAAAACTTTTTCTTTGCACTTGATCCCTGTCACTAAGGAAAATAAAATCACTTTTTATAAAAATTGTAAAGTTTTAAATTAGGAAAATGGAGTGCATCCTTTCTAATGAATGATAGAATGTATAGTAAACTACATCTAAGCCTTATAATAATAAATCCACTGGTTAAAATATAAAAATGAAACCAGTGTTGGTGGATTGTACAGAAAAAGTTCATGACCTTTTACATTATCTGAGTTACACTGCAGGTTATCAGTATAGCAATGATAACTATAAGATCCAAACCAAAAAAAAAGGAATCTGAGGGGCTTAGGTGGCTCAGTGGTTAAGAGCACCGCTCGTACAAAGAACCTGGGTTCAGTTCTCAGCATAACATGGCAGTTCCAGTCCCAGGCAATCTGACACAACTGAAAGCAAAAGCCCCATAGTTTTAAAAACTGGAAGATGTTCTACAGAACCATGCACAGCCGCATTCTCCACGTGTGGGGGCACTGCCAGCAAGCCTGAGGACCAAGCACACCAACTTGGGGAGACCATTCTATTGAAAGGATGTGATGATACTGTGGCCCCTTTGGGTCCTGGGAAGGCAAAGGTGGAGCAGCAGCAAGGAAGCCCAGGGGCCACTGAGAGTGAGAGGCCTGCAGCAAGGCCTCTCAGGGCCTCCTGACATAGCACTGACAGCTGGCTTTGGGGTGGGGTCACCTCAGATTATGAAGCAGATGCAGCAGAGGATGCTGGAACTTAAGAAGACTCTGCAGAAGGAACTGGTGAGTGCCTGCTTGTGCCCTCCATGCACTCAGCCCCACATCTTCCCATTCCCCTGCTCTCCCCGATTCTCTGGTCCTCCTGCCACCTGGGCTTTTCTCTTAGTTGTTTGCAGAGGGTTCTCTGAGAAATCAGGTGTGGACTGGTGGGAAGAAGTGTTTTTGTGACCATGCAGCCTTGGGCAGGAGGTCTGAGTCTGCCTTCTCCTTTTCCGCCTGCATTCTCACATAAATAGACAAACATGACCTAGTTCCCTGCTCAGCCACTGACCCCAAGAGAAGAGCTGAACCTTGCTCATGTTCAGGCACTTCCTTCTAGTCGAGTGCCCTTTCGCCCAGTGATGTGAGCTTAGTCGAGCTGGTCACAGCTGGGTCTGGAGAATCGATTGACATGGCACATTTTCTATTGCTTTTCAGAAAATCAGGCCTGACAGTGAGCTTTTTGAGGTCCGGGAGAGGACAGGCCCTGAGATACCAAATATGGCCCCTTCTGTCACCAATAATGCTGACCTGACTGACGCCCGAGAGATCAATTTTGAATACCTTAAACATGTTGTTTTAAAATTCATGTCCTGTCGAGAATCCGAGGTAAAGACTTCCAGCTGCTTTTTTGGGTGATGGGCTTGCATGGCTTCCATCAGCCTCCTGCCTTCTTCCCCTCATCCCTCAGTGCTGGCCTGCTGAGCAGACCGTGATGCAAAGTGTCTCCTGGGGAGATATGGGTTCCCCCTCTGAATTCTGGCTTGAATGCTGCTGAAGCTAAAGACCTAGAAAACGTCTGTACAGCGTGAAAAGCAGGGTAGCTGTTGAGAATGTTCTCAGCTCTCAGTCCCCAAAGTGAGACGGACTCAAAAGGCTGCAGCTACACCCACCTCCTCACCCTTGTGACCCAGGCAAACAGAAAATGCTGCCAGTCAGTCCCTTAACTACCTGCATGCCCACCCCAAAAGCCTGTGCCAGCAAAAGCGGGTTTTGTTTTTCAGGCTTTTCATCTCATAAAGGCAGTGTCAGTGCTGTTGAATTTCTCACAAGAGGAAGAGAACATGCTCAAGGAGACTCTGGAGTATAAGGTGAGCGTCC